AACAGAGCTTGAAAAGAGCTTCAAAATGAGCTATCACTGGACCCAATACAACAATCAGAACAAAAGTTATTAATGTTTTACTGTTTGGGGGGTTGCGGTCAGGGCGGAACAGGGAAAATCTTTAGATACTGATTTCTAGGCCCCCATTACAGATATTAAACTGAAATTTGGTGCATAATTTTTCTTACGATGGGAAACATATAAGAGAAGCTTTATCAAAATTAGGGATATTCAGGACATATAGGTTGGTTGGTTTGGTATGGAATTACCCCTGAGTAAATTCTCAATACTCTGGATAATGGTTATATAAATTGGTTCGTATTCATTATTACAGTTCGATCACCTGAGCAAATCAGACATAGTCATGTTACTGAACACGCACTTTATCCTCTCTTACACTCAAAATGGGCAGTCATATATCAGTGCCCAATTACCAACAGTGCACTTAGAAATTGGGGACAAAATGGATGCTTCTATGCTTCTCCCTATAAGCAAGCAGTCATTCAATCGATAATTCGCAGTGATGGATGGCGAACATATGAAATATGAAATATGAAATATGAAATATGAAATATGAAATATGAAATATGAAATATGAAATATGAAATATGAAATATGAAATATGAAATATGAAATATGAAATATGAAATATGAAATATGAAATATGAAATATGAAATATGAAATATGAAATATGAAATATGAAATATGAAATATGAAATATGAAATATGAAATATGAAATATGAAATATGAAATATGAAATATGAAATATGAAATATGAAATATGAAATATGAAATATGAAATATGAAATATGAAATATGAAATATGAAATATGAAATATGAAATATGAAATATGAAATATGAAATATGAAATATGAAATATGAAATATGAAATATGAAATATGAAATATGAAATATGAAATATGAAATATGAAATATGAAATATGAAATATGAAATATGAAATATGAAATATGAAATATGAAATATGAAATATGAAATATGAAATATGAAATATGAAATATGAAATATGAAATATGAAATATGAAATATGAAATATGAAATATGAAATATGAAATATGAAATATGAAATATGAAATATGAAATATGAAATATGAAATATGAAATATGAAATATGAAATATGAAATATGAAATATGAAATATGAAATATGAAATATGAAATATGAAATATGAAATATGAAATATGAAATATGAAATATGAAATATGAAATATGAAATATGAAATATGAAATATGAAATATGAAATATGAAATATGAAATATGAAATATGAAATATGAAATATGAAATATGAAATATGAAATATGAAATATGAAATATGAAATATGAAATATGAAATATGAAATATGAAATATGAAATATGAAATATGAAATATGAAATATGAAATATGAAATATGAAATATGAAATATGAAATATGAAATATGAAATATGAAATATGAAATATGAAATATGAAATATGAAATATGAAATATGAAATATGAAATATGAAATATGAAATATGAAATATGAAATATGAAATATGAAATATGAAATATGAAATATGAAATATGAAATATGAAATATGAAATATGAAATATGAAATATGAAATATGAAATATGAAATATGAAATATGAAATATGAAATATGAAATATGAAATATGAAATATGAAATATGAAATATGAAATATGAAATATGAAATATGAAATATGAAATATGAAATATGAAATATGAAATATGAAATATGAAATATGAAATATGAAATATGAAATATGAAATATGAAATATGAAATATGAAATATGAAATATGAAATATGAAATATGAAATATGAAATATGAAATATGAAATATGAAATATGAAATATGAAATATGAAATATGAAATATGAAATATGAAATATGAAATATGAAATATGAAATATGAAATATGAAATATGAAATATGAAATATGAAATATGAAATATGAAATATGAAATATGAAATATGAAATATGAAATATGAAATATGAAATATGAAATATGAAATATGAAATATGAAATATGAAATATGAAATATGAAATATGAAATATGAAATATGAAATATGAAATATGAAATATGAAATATGAAATATGAAATATGAAATATGAAATATGAAATATGAAATATGAAATATGAAATATGAAATATGAAATATGAAATATGAAATATGAAATATGAAATATGAAATATGAAATATGAAATATGAAATATGAAATATGAAATATGAAATATGAAATATGAAATATGAAATATGAAATATGAAATATGAAATATGAAATATGAAATATGAAATATGAAATATGAAATATGAAATATGAAATATGAAATATGAAATATGAAATATGAAATATGAAATATGAAATATGAAATATGAAATATGAAATATGAAATATGAAATATGAAATATGAAATATGAAATATGAAATATGAAATATGAAATATGAAATATGAAATATGAAATATGAAATATGAAATATGAAATATGAAATATGAAATATGAAATATGAAATATGAAATATGAAATATGAAATATGAAATATGAAATATGAAATATGAAATATGAAATATGAAATATGAAATATGAAATATGAAATATGAAATATGAAATATGAAATATGAAATATGAAATATGAAATATGAAATATGAAATATGAAATATGAAATATGAAATATGAAATATGAAATATGAAATATGAAATATGAAATATGAAATATGAAATATGAAATATGAAATATGAAATATGAAATATGAAATATGAAATATGAAATATGAAATATGAAATATGAAATATGAAATATGAAATATGAAATATGAAATATGAAATATGAAATATGAAATATGAAATATGAAATATGAAATATGAAATATGAAATATGAAATATGAAATATGAAATATGAAATATGAAATATGAAATATGAAATATGAAATATGAAATATGAAATATGAAATATGAAATATGAAATATGAAATATGAAATATGAAATATGAAATATGAAATATGAAATATGAAATATGAAATATGAAATATGAAATATGAAATATGAAATATGAAATATGAAATATGAAATATGAAATATGAAATATGAAATATGAAATATGAAATATGAAATATGAAAATGTTTACATATACGCCGGAGATTACCAATTACCCATTTAGTTTTTTAAAATAAAAACGTCGCAAACACCAATCATTCCCACCGCAGACTTGTACACATCGAAATCTAACAAACCAAGGGAAATAACTGAAGAGTCACGATTTACTCACCTGGCGTATGAATGGAAATAAAATAGCACTGGCGTAAGAGGCAAACCGGCTCCTCACCTGCACCTGCCTCTACGCTGACTTTACGACCATTCACTCCAAAGGTGAGATTCCAGGTAAAAGAAAAAAAAAAAGAAAAAAAAGCAGAGAATTCGAGTGGTTCTTTGTATTGTGGAGATGAATTAGGAGAAATGTAGTGCTTTACAGTTTTCGGAAGGATTATAGAATATATATTTTTTTCGCTAGGGATATGGGTAGAGGGTTATAATACAGGAGTTAAATCTAGCTTTACGTAAAATAGTATTTAAAGGCATTGAGGTTGTTTTTTTGTGCTTTTTTCGGGGGAATGTTTTGTGATGTAATAAAAGAGAAGGTCACTTGAAGCTACAACTGATCTGCTACAGTCGTCTTGTGCGTAGTGGTAAGTGACAATAAAAGATATTAGACCAGGAAAGAAAATTGCTCAATAAAGTAAAAAAATTGCGGGTAAGCATGACTTTGTGTTTTCTGGATATTATCACTTAGGCCTAAGGTAGGATCTGTGTATGGGATTGCTACTCAGGCAAAATTGAAACGTATGGATTATAACCTTTTGGGGTCTGTAAAGTGCCAGTTAATGTACAAAACTCATTATAAACTAACTAGAATTGATGAAAGTAATGGTAACCTATGAAAATTTCTATTTATTCATTCATTATTACTCTTTATCAACTTATGCTGATTATATACAGATTTTTTTTTTATGAGAAAGAAATTGACATATGTATGATCTAGGTAATCTTCATTATGGTTAATATTCTGATTTATGTTTGTATCAGAAATTATTTAAAGAATACAGAAAAGGCTTAACCAGTTGTATTTTCAAAACAGGTTGAGTATTAGTTAACAGGCAGCCCTTTTAATAACTGTCAGTAGTAATGGTAGATCATTGGTGTCAGGGAAACAGGCAGTGCTAAATGACATATAATTTAGGAATTGCATTCATTTCATTAAGAATGGCAGGTGTATCAATAGCAGCAGATATATTGATATGTATTTTATATTGTTTTTAACTTTTAGGTATAGTTTTATTATTATTCTCTTTGATTGACATTCTTGCAGCATTAAAGTTGAAAACATGTAAACTTTCAACCAATATCTTCCTTATTATTGTAGTAACAAATTTGGAGTTTTAATATATTTTTAAAGATTCTGGGGTTAATACATATTGGACAACAGCACAAGCCCATTAGATTTGGTACCATATATAACAGAAGGGATGAAGAAATATTTTTTGTTGAAATCTATTTAGATATAAAATACAGAGTATCATATATATTTCATCGCATCATTATTCTGACTTAAAAATTGATAACATATCTAGATGTCTGTAATTTGTACTCATAGTATTTTAAGACCCAAAAAACAACCACAATAGCCTTTACATATGCTTTACTTAAACATTTTATAGCAAAGTTTATCCTTGTTTACTTTCCCTTCAAGCCAGCTGCGCATTAACTGCCATGGCTGGTTCAGAGAAGACGATGGTGATGAATGGGTCTGTGGCCTCATCGTCCCCGCAGGAGGAAGGGAAGGGAGGCAAGCGCAAGCCCAACTATAGCATTCTCCTTTACGTCCCAAACCTCATAGGTGAGTGGTAGGCTTGGCTTATTCATTGGATGTTACTGTCATTATTATTATTATTATTATTATTATTATTATTATTGTTATTATTATTATT